ACCCGCCGCCGCCGCTGCTGCTTCGTCATGACCCTTTCACCTGGGTCGTGAGAATGGGACAGGGCAACGGCGGCAAGTGAGGCGATCCCATGCCATGCTACCCACCGCTTCAGCCCAGCCCGTTTGTCGGTCTGGCTGACGTCTGACTGGCATGCCCTCTTGCGCGCGCGCGCTCACACCCACCCATACTTACTTGTCCATCCCTCGCCTGCTAACCCCTTACTCGGCGTTTGGCCCCCAACGTGTATCGCTCTCCCCACTGTCAGGTTTGTGGCAGGCGTTACGTGGAGGCGCGAGATTTCGCCATTGCGTCGAGGTGTGTGTATGTGTGTGTCCGTGTTTGTGTGCGTGTGGGAGGGCATCACACACTCCCTCACTCACCGCCAGACCGGCGCAGCAAATAGGCATCTTCGTCAAGACAGCCGAGTGCAGGTGGCGTACACGACAGTACCTCGCCGCTGCAGATGAGAGGGTGTCGTGTCGTCGTGATAACTTCTGCCCATCGCGTGTCAGTTTGAGGAAGTGCCTCTCACCTTCGCCAAGGAGATGGAAAGGAAAAAAAAAAAAAAAAAAAAGAGAACCCCACGACGCAGACACTGTCCACACCACGGATCTGCGCTCTCCAAGCCTTGTCCATCGTTTCTTTTCTTTTTCTTCTCTTGAGGCCATCCTCCCCCTCTCTCTGTCTCGCGCGGGGATCCGGGCTGGGGAAGCTCGAACTCCAGTGTCTGAGCCCAGACTTGGGTGCATTTCCCATACCCTCCTCCTCGCCTCTCCCCCCGTTATCCAGACCCATGCATGCCCTTTTGCCAAACCCCAGTCTCCCGATTCCCCGTGGGCTGGCGCCGCGGCTGGATCGCGTGTGCAACCGCTCTGCCGAAATTGTGCAGGTCGATCAACCAGCTTCCTTTTCTTCTACTAGTCCTGTCATTTTTTTTTTTGCTTGGTCTCCCTCTTTGAGTCCCTGTCTGTCTCTCGCTATCTTGTCTTCTCCAATGGTCATCCCCCCAAGACCAGAACCCGGCTTTGACCCGAGCCAGCCGCGCCGTGGCCCGGCTGGCCTGGGGCCCGCCTCAGCTGTGCGCCGTGACGCCAATGTTTCGCGGAGCGCGCACTCCTGGATCATGGCCCTGTCCCAGAAGCCCAAGCATGTTGAGGTCCATGCCGTGCGAAGCGCCGAGGAAGGGGGGGGGCGTGCCCCGAGAGAGGAAGAAAGAGTAGAGATGACTTGAAAGAGTTGATCGCCTTGAACTATGTCCGGTTTTCTTCATCTATGTGTGATATCGCCGATAGCCCTCGTTCAGGCTGGACCTCTGAGCTGGTGACGACTTGGACTTGGGGCCACGGCCTCCCTTTCTCTCACTTGGCCCCCCCCCACCCCAGAATGTGCTCCTTGAAACATCGTCTCTGGGGGGCATGGAGGGGGCGGGCTGCCTGAGACAAAAACGGGCTTGAGCAGTGACAGCGGCCTTTGGCCCGTCTTCCGGCATTGTGTCTACTTGGAATGGCACACTGCCTATCTGCGTCTGGATCGTGGACATTTAGACCTTGCCCCAGATAAGAAAGAAGTATGCCTCTCCGACCTCCACGGAATAGGAATCTAGGGGCCTCCCTCCCCCAGAAGGCCAGCAGATCAGTTGGGCCAGGGCATGCCATGCACATTTTTAGCGGGCTCGTAGGAAACGTCATACTGTCCACCCCGTCACTGTCACTGGCCGACTGGGTGGGAACGTCAAGGTATATGATGAGTCGAACCTCGAGTCAAAACTCCGTGTCTGGCTTGCTTCATTGGTGTTTTTACCTGAAATCCTTCCGCTTTTTTTATCAAGTGCGATATGTGTGGGGGTGGCTGCCACACCTATTGCTACCCCCATCCATCTCCCCATCTCCCATGTACCGGTCGAGAGAGGTACATCGGGCCAAATTAAGTCGCAATATCATGTGAGTCGATCCCATGAACACACCCCAGAGACAGTACATGTTACGCCATGGTGGATTTGGGGAGGAAAGGAAAGGAGCGCGCCGCAGCACGCCACGGCTAGACTTACACCTCGCTCATCACAGGGCAATATCATCACGAGCCGTCCCGGGCATCGAGCAAACTCCAGATCAGTCAAAAAGTCACGATCTCACCACCCACGCCCCCTCCCCACGCAGGGCCACGCTCACGGAAGCGAGACGCAAGGGGCATTTGTCCATCCACCTAGTCATTCACTCAAATGACCACGAGCCCAGCCACTGGTGCGCGCGGGGTGGAGGGGTTGAGGCGCCTCACGAGACATCCTTCAATATCGTCAACTCGTCCGTCCTGCAGGTCAAGTGTCTGCCCCTGGGGGGGTGTTTGACTACGGGCGACAACCACTGAAATAAACAGCACTAGAGGATCAGCTCTCTCCCCCCCCACGTCGTCGCCCCGCAGGACTCAGTCGACCCCAAGATCTGCCTCCCGAACATGGATTGAATTACGGGTTTGTGGAGAGGCCATGATTTCATCTAACCTTCATTCTTCCTTGTTCGGAAACCCCCGACCTGGCAAGAGGACGGTTCACGCCCACCCGCCGGCCAATTCTGGGATTGCGCCCACAACCTGGATCCCGGTCGCAGGCCAGTTCTCGTGCCAAGTCGAGTGCCCGGTCCAAAGGGGGAAGTGAATGGACCCTTCGAGCTGGCAATCAAGCAAGGTCCTGTGGGAAGCGGGGGGCGGCCTTCTGGCGATTCATGCTGCTAAGCATTTTATTATCGCCAAGCTCGGATGTGCCTTGCTGACGGGACACGCGCTGTTCGGGACTTGCCTGTTGTTTCCAATAAGCTCGGAGGTAGATCTTTCGACCGGCCGAGAGGTCAGGAAGAACAGCATTCCCACAATGGCGCGTGCGCTTCGTCGCACGACACGTATTATCGTGCCTCACTCAGCCCGGCCCGAGTCGCAGGACAGGATGAAGTCATCGCAAGGGGGCAGGTCCACCACTCATTGGGCTGAAAGCGGCCAGCGTCGTCCCTTCAATGCGCTGGCAGCGCTGGATAAGCCAGCTGTCGATCGATGAGTCCCTCCCTTCTTCCCATACGCATCCTTTCGGGCCCGACGAGTCACACGAAGCATGCCTATACGCCAGCCTGCCTATGTGCTTGCGTTCTTGCCCTAGTGGATAGGTGTCGCATCCTCCCGATGATCGCGGTGCTACAATGGCCGTTCGATAGTGAGGGTACTATCACGAGCTATTGCTGGCGTACCCCATGATGAATCCTCCCCGTAAGAGAAGCGCGGATTACCTTGGCGTGATGCCAGAAGAACCGGCTGCCGTTTGATGTTGATTGTAGCGAAAAACTCCCAGACTAGCCCAAAGAATGTGCTTCCCAGGCGTCAAAGAGTGACAGATGACGCTTGGCTCCTTCAGGGCATCCCCTCCCCACTCATTTTGGGCAAAAACTCAAAAGCTGCGGACTGGCCAAGACCGAGACCTGCAAGGGAAAGATTGAAATGGCGCGTCGGTACCAGAGAGCTGGACTGAAGGCGTGCTTTCGCCCTGATTAGCGTCTCCCAGCTCTAGCATCTACAGTACGATGATCACCCTGGCTCGTTGCGCGGGTAGTCTTTCTCCGGGGTGTCTTCTGGGTGGGTATCATTCTGCAGCTGACATCAGCTCGGTATGGTTTTGAAAGAGAGAGAGAGAGTTCAGTTAGGGCTTTTGTCTCTCGTTGGGGATCTCGTCATCTTGGCCAGGAACATGTAGGTGTCCACACTCAGATTCTTTTGCGCGCAGTCAGAAATGATGGCAACGTTGACACCCATGACGCGATTGCAACAAACTGGCCGAGACGGGGGAAAGGCTCCAGCATTGACGAAACGCCCGACAGCCCACGTGTGATTTGCCGTTGCCAGCTGAGCTGTGCATTGGCATTGGGGTGCGCTGAGGCTTGCATCACCGCAGAAGCGAGAGAGACGAGGCGTATAGGGGTACAGGTTTCTGCCTATGGCTTGCTGCCCTGCTCTCTCGCTTGAGGTGTTCTTGGCACATGATATCTCTCTGGCTAGGGACTGGACCACCCCTGACATGATCAGTGCCGCGGAGGTGCGGGTAAAGTTGAAAAGAACGGAAATCCGGGACGCCTCCAAACGCGTTTCCGGGTCCTGAGCCGGAAGAATGGCAAGGAGTGGGGGGGGGGGGGCAGGCCTCGTGTCGTTCCTGGACTGAGCAGCACTCTCATGCTGTGCCGTTTGGAGGTGGCTTGCTCGGTTGCGTGGACCAAGACGTCCGGGTTCTATCTTGCCGGCTCAATCATCAGACGAGATGGTGCCACATTGGGATCAGAAAATCACGATCGATGCAACGGTGGGGAGGCAGGTCGACTTGCCCCGGCTGCAAGCCACTGCACAGGTTTCTCGGCTGATATCCCACTTGCTTGTTCGAAATTGAAATGGTAATTCAGACCATGTCTGGATAGAGGCTCAGTTGCAAGCCACACGTTCAAGAGCTTTGCCTGATGGAGTGGACAGGACAGGCAAGACGACCGACTTGTTCTTATTTAGGCGGGATCTCTAGCCATGATTTCCCCACCAACAGCATCTCCTCGTCGTTTGACCCTTGCCTAAAGCCGCGGCATGCAGCCCCCAGAGCTCTTATTATAACGAGGCCGATCGTCATCCATCCTGTACCTTCTTGTACAGAGTGACTCGGAGCAAAACGAACGTGGCCACGGACGCATCTGGGTCATCATTCAGCCCCCGGAACTGATCTATTGTATTGCTGAGAAACTATCTTCTTGGGTCATCCGTCGGGCCTGGGCGTGGTGTCACTGCTTCCATTTCGATTCCTTCTTCTGTTGCTGTATCCTTCGAAATGGCGATGCCCTTGACATCATCGTCGCGCGACTGGTCCTCATACTCAACGCTGACCGTTGTCGTCCAGGCGATCCCATTGATGTCCCTACCCTGGGGTCCATGCCCCAGAATGCTCCGATCGCTGTCGCCGTCGTCACCCTTGGCCTCGGCGCGGCCTGCCGTGACCGTGACCGAGTTGTAAAACTTGTTACTGCTGTCTCCCGTCTTGACATAGCCACCACCGTTGTTGTTCGACTCGGTTCGGACACGGGCGCTGCGGACGAATCCACGGAGAACCGGTATCGAGGCAGAAATGATCGTGACGTTGGGCTCGGCCATTGACCAGATCCAGTAGACGGCCTGGTTGTAGGCATCTGGTAGTCGATGTTAGCGGGCAAGTTGGAGTGTCAAGGAAGAGGCCACGTACAGTCGGGATGCCTCACTTGAAGCAATTTGGAGCCGTAGTACGCCTTCATCACACCAGTGATGCCTGCGATGACGCCCATGCTCAGCGCCAACGCAATACCTAGTCTTTCGGATCGCTTCATCTGCAGGTTGAATATCATCCGCCAGGGCAACAGGGCCAGTATAAAGTCGCACAATGCCGAATACACTGCGACAGGGCTATGTCAGATTCGCCAAAACAGATCGCATCGTCCAGGGCGGGGAACGGGTAGACAAACCAGCACTGAAGACTGCAAAAGTAACCGATTGCGTCAAGGTCCAGCATTTGTCTCCTCCAATGTGCCCTTCATCCGGCGCACCGCATATCATCTGCCAGACCGCAATGATGTGCACCGCGAACTGAAAGTTCATGGTGATCAGCACGACGTAGATCAGCTTCGCCTCCCAGCCACCGGGCATCAGTCGCAGCAGCGTCAGGCCGAACGACGTCTTGGTCAGTCCGAGGGCGATGCTCTGGAGGTTGTGGTGGATGCGGGCGAGCGTGATCTTCTGGAGGCTTCCTGAATGCAAGAAGATGGCCATGAGCCCCGACATGACCCCAGACGCCACCAAAACAACTATCCATCCGGCGATGAGGACCCAATCATCTTGCTGAACGCCCAAGCGGACTACGCGGATTCTACTATACAATCTCAAGGCGAGAGCGATCGTTGCGAGGGTGAACAACTGGAGAAAGCGCCTTTGGTTAGCCAGTCAATCTACAGATAGCGGGAAGGGGACGTCATAAACCAAGGGTGACCTACACTCCAGATCGAAGCATTTACGAGGATTGCCAAATCTTTGGGATCCGTAGCCATTGTCCTACTTCCCGGCTCGTCGTGTATGTGGGAATCATTTGCTGTCTCCTCCCTCTTGCGACGACCAAAAACGTTCGAGACTCGGAGGTTTTCTTCGACACAGCACAAGTGCCCTCTCTCACGTACAAGTATTCACGCATCCTTTCCTGTT